TTTGGATTAGAGTTTGTGTATATGATTTGGGTACATGAATCTAAAGTGAATTTGGGAAAAAAATCGAATCAAAACGATTTAGGATCAGAAAACGAGACCGAAAATTCGTTAGAAATTTGCCTGAGGAAAAGGTCACGCGACGCGCCAGCCAGCGCTCCCCAGCTGGTCCTCTGAAGTTTGAGGGCTGGCACCCTGCACCTCTCAGAGCGCCATGGACGCCAGTTCTCCCATTCTTCCCCCACATTTTCGTACTAGATCCTAAGTGATGTATCTATGTTTCCTAGTTGATTCTAACACTCTAAGTTATATCTAAACATCATGAAATCATCCATAAATATGAGATCATGAACCTTGAATCCATAATCTAATTCAAGGAAAGTTAGGATCAAAGTCGAGAGAAGTCAAGAGTCAAGTTAAGGGAAGTCCTTCAAACTTTTCAAAAGTCTTTTATAAATGTTTTAACTTTGTTTTAAGACTTAAAGTTCAAGTTAAGCAAAGAGTAAAGAGTCGAAGTTCATTTCTTCAAAAGTATATGGGGATTAAGTATTCCCAAAGAGATTTAAAATGTTTTCACATTTAAATAGGAATGGAAACTGAGATTTTCAAAAGAGCCTTCGGGCTAGTTTTCAGAAAAGAGAAATAGGTTTCTAAATTAAGCAAGCAGGGAAATTGAGATTTCCAAGATAACCTTTAAGCTAAGTTTTTGAGCATTAATCTCAAATCACAGAAGAAGTATGTTTTTAAACAAAAAGAACTAAGTATTTTTGGGAGTAGTATTGAGCACCGATATGGGGATGCGAGTTCATATTAACTCAAGTCTCCATAAACCATGTAGCCATCAAGGGTAGAAAAGAGTCATACTTTTTAGATGAACCATTTTCGCATAGACTAATGGATCCACTTAGTGAGTTAGTTTCCTATATCACGGCAAGGTATAGCATGGGCCTCAGTAGCGTGAGGTAAAGCGTTGTATCATCACTATAGTTCTTAAGTGATGGTTGTCGGTTAGAGAAACTCCCACAGCTGTAGTAGCATGGTTCCTCAAGGGGTTCTGCTTAGTGTTAATGGGGGTATGGGACTTCATTCATGCATTGCATAAGTAGACTTTGAGAGGGAGCTTGGTTTGTCTTTTTATGATATTATGATTATGAATTGACAACATGTTTTCAACAGTTTTTCTTTATATTGCACTTGTTTTAAACTGTTTTATAATGAAATGAGTTTATTTAAGTATTCAGGAGTTGATAAGAGCCAAGGTAAGCGTTTTTTTCATAATTTCTTTCGAGCCTATGTTGTTTTAGCATTCCAACTCGCATACTCGTACATTCAATGTACTAATGTCAGTTGGCCTGCATCGTATTATGATGCAGACACAGGTAACTAGGATCGACATCCAGCGCATTCGCTGATCCAGTGAGCAGTTCAGAGTCTGTTAGTGAGCCTCTTTGCATTCCAGAGGACTCTTTTACATTGCTTTCAATTTTATTATTAGTTCATTATGATGTTGTGGGGTCTGTCCCAACATCCATCTAAGTTGTTTTAGAGGCTTCATAAACAGTCAGTCAGTTAGTAGTTCAGTTATCTTTATATTACCATTTTCATATGTTAAGACTTGAGTTGCCATTTTGGCCAAGTTGAATGTTGACTATTAAACATTCTAAGTTATTTCATTAGTTAAGTTGAGTATTGTGCTATTGATCTTTATAAATATGCATATAGTCTTCCACTGAGTTAAGTAAGCCAGGTCAAGGGTTCGCTTGGGGCCAGCAATGGTCTTCGAGTGCCGGTCACGTCCAGGGTGTAGGCTCGAGGCGTGACAATTGTGAAGTTGGGGTAGTGGGATGGAGATTGTGAATGTAGGTAATGGGCTGGTGAGAAAGATGGGAGGGGATGATTGTGAATGTGGGGTAGTAGGGTGGTGGCATGTAGTATTGGATAGGCGTAAGGGGGGAGATTAACGTATGGAGGTTTGGAGTGTAACGGTTATTACGGAACTCTAATCAATTTAAATCCCTAAATTTGTGTAATTGATAATTTCTGTTTTAAAAAAGGAACAACAATCAAATTAATTAGCTATTAATATTAACAATATAAAAATATAAAGAGATTAATCATTTATTAAATGAAATTGTAATTGATATGTTATAACCCGTAAATAAACTATTATAAGTAAGAATTTTTTAAGAGTATGTTTAAAACCCGTAATATTGTCTCTTAAATGTGTATACGGTGTGATTTTACCTTAAATTTAATGATTGATTTTCATTAGGGCAGGAGCAGTGTTTTAAAAGGCGGGCATGAGGCGAGGCGTTTTATACAGTACGAGGCGGGATGTAAGCCCCGAGATACGGAGCATAAGTCTCATGGATCTACGGGGTGTAGTCTCATGTATATTCAATTTTATTGTTTTATTACTAATAAAATAAGCAAAAGTAAATCTTTCAATGATTTTACAAATAACTTTTTATAAAAAAACTATAATATATGGAAATTATATTATGATTTTTATTTGAGATAAGTATAATAATCAATAATGAAGAAAAAAGTATTATAATTACTATTGAGGAATATCATTACACTAATAATAAAAATATGGTTTAAAGCAAAAAAAGTTCAAAAAAATAAATTAAAAACGCCCAGGCGTACGTTTTTACGCCCAGGACTTACATTTTTATGCTCGGGACTTAAACCTTAAATTTTAGGACTTACGCCTTGTAGATCTACATCTTTAATTTACGCCTCGGAGCGTTTTTGGTACGTCACACCCCAAGACTCTCCCCAAAAATGTTTTTGAAAATACTGGGCAGGAGATTAGTTAGATAGTTTGAGTATTGTCTTCTTTATTTTCTATACTGTTAAATTCCAATGTTACTTTTAGGGGTCGTTTGGTTGGAAACAAGTTATCCCAGGATTAATTATTATGAGAATAGTTATCATGGTTATCCCAAACATGTCAACCAAACAAAACACCAAAATTTAATCCCAGGACTATTTTTGATCCCAGAATTATTTATTCATATCTCTCACACCAAACGACCGCTTATAGTTTGTTGTACTTTGAATTTTGCTATTGTCTCTGAGTTCTTTACCATACAATTGTAGTTTTATCTTACCATAATTAATGATTATTTTTCAGGTTGTCTATAGTAATTTGTTATAACTGTCTCCATTTACGCTATTACTTTATCTATATTGTTTTGATTGTTCTTTCTTAAACTTAAAGTATCATAAACGATTTTTCTAACTCTAAAATAGTGATAAAGTTTGTATAAACTCTACCATCCGTAAGTCTCATTTTCTGGGATTACACAATATGTGTTATTGTTTTAACAAGTTATTTGAATACTTGGTCGACCTCTATTGACAAATTCATAATGTTAGGATTTGAGAATGAAATTCTAATCTCTACTCGTAACTTTTCTAAAATCTAATATATCGAATGTTCGACAAATTATGAATATATTTGGTCAAAATATCTTATCCATTAATACGTAATTATTGAATTATCATACCAAAGTTTGATTTGTCAGATCGAATATATCTATTTCAATTATTAATTATGCATGATTTAATTATGCGGGACATGAATTATTAACTATTGAATATTGAATTTAGTGTAAATTAGTAATATATATTATTAGCAAAATAATAATACATGCTAATTAAATATGTTGAATATATTTAATAATATATATCGCTAATATTCGATTAACTATGTGCCGTCAAAATTCATACAACCAATTTCTAATATTAATAAAATATTTATATATTTACATAAATAAATACAAACTGTACGTACATATATAGAAAGAAATAAAAATTGTTTGTATATAAAAACAAATAGAAAAACAAACGTAGTAAGGAAAACTGTAAAGTTCTCAATTAAAAAAAATTAAAATAAATTAATATGGTAAATATGTAATTTATCATTTTAATACGTATAACTAATATCCACATAACTTATTCCACCTACTACCCCTTATAACTTATACATAGATTCCCTCATAAGTTATGTTGGTATTAATTATGTAAGACTACAAAACACGCAATCAAACGTCGTATAAATAAATACATGAATAATTTTTATATAACATTCAACCAAACATGATATAACTTATGTTGACTTTTATACATAATACAAAACTTCTACCAAACATAATAAAGCTAATGCAACTTTTTATATATGATTAAGATGTGTCTTATACAGTAACCAAACGGCCCCTTATAGTTTTATCTTGTTATAACTTACTGTTTACGATTATTTATTAGGTTGTATATAGTATTTTGTCTTTAACTGACTCCATTTTCGCTATCACTTTATCTAAAAAAAAATTATTGTTCTTTTTCAAACTTAGAGTCTATCATAAAATTTGTTTATCCCCTTCACAAGTCTCATTTTATGAAATTACACAAGATATGTTATTTTTGTTTTAACAAGTGATTTGAAGGTTTGATTGACCTTATTGACAAATTCATAATATTAGGATTTGAGAGTAAAAATCTAATCTCTACTTGTAATTAACAAATTATGAATATATTTAGTCAAAGTATCTTATCCATCCATACGTAATAACAGAATTATCATACCAAAGTTTGATTTGTCAGATCGAATATATCTATTTCAATTATGGATTATCAAAATTCAAAAATACCGAATCAAATATCGAACGTGATATCCGTAATTCATTAACATCGGCCCTAAACTCATTACACCTCCATAACACCACACTAAAACTCTGTAGCAGAGAGAGAGAAAGAACCTTGAGAAGGAGAACCAAATCCTTTCCTTAAACCTTCACGCCTCCATTAACACATTTCCTCATTAATAACCCCTCTGTTTTTTCTCTTCATTCTATGCAACTTAGTAGAAGAAAAAATAAAAATAGCCTTAAAGAGGAAACTCAACCCCACCCCCTAATTACCCCCCTACCCCCTACCTTCACTCTTCTTTAAATTCCCACTTACTTCACTCTACACTTTCTCAGAGCTAAAAAGAAAAAAAGTAAGAAACAGAACCAAAAAACAGAGCAACTCTCAGTGTGAGAAACTTTTACACTCTTTTCAAAAGTGTAAAGTGGGAAAACAAGAAAAAAAAGTTTAGGCTTTTAAATGGGTTCTTGTAAAGAAGAAGAACCAAAATGGTTGTGGGTTAATGGACCTATTATAGTAGGTGCAGGTCCTTCTGGTTTAGCAGTTTCAGCTTGTCTTAAAGAAAATGGAGTCCCTTCACTCATTCTTGAGAGAAGTGATTGTATTGCTTCTTTATGGCAACAAAAGACTTATGATCGCTTAAAACTTCATCTTCCTAAACAATTCTGTCAACTCCCATTGTTTGATTTCCCTGAAAATTTCCCAAAATACCCCACAAAACACCAGTTCATTTCTTACCTTGAATCTTATGCTAAACACTTTTCTATCACCCCCAAGTTCAAACAAAGTGTTAAAAATGCAGAATTTGATGAAGTTTGTGGGTTTTGGAAAGTACAAACTCAAGATTTTCAGTATTTGTCGAAATGGTTGATTGTTGCAACAGGGGAAAATGCAGAGGCAGTTATTCCAGAAATTTCAGGGATTGATAAGTTTAAAGGAAGATTAATGCATACAAGTGTTTATAAATCTGGTACTGAGTTTATTAATCAAAGGGTTTTGGTAATTGGTTGTGGAAATTCTGGTATGGAAGTTAGCCTAGACCTTTGTAGACATAATGCCATTCCTCACATGGTGGTCAGAAATTCTGTAAGTACATTCCCCTTTTAACTTCTTTTCTTTTTCGGATAAGAGGAGTTACTCAGATGATAAAAGACCGGGTTCGAGTCTTGAGCTATATGTCGTTATTTTGAAATCTCTGATAGATATTTTAAAAGTACTAATGAATCATGCTTAAAATGCAACTTTCTTGGGTGTACTGTACACCCCAATATGTCTATTTTATGAAATTGATGAGTTTGTGTGTTGTTAAGTTAAGCATGATGTTTTGATGTTAATTAACATTATTAATTATTATTTATTTTTTATGCAGGTGCATATTTTACCTAGGGAAATGTTAGGAATATCAACATTTTCAATAGCTATGGCACTTCTAAAATGGATGCCTTTAAGAATAGTTGACAAGTTCCTATTACTAGTTGCTAACTTAACCTTAGGTAGCACTGATAAATTAGGTCTCCGGCGACCAAAAACCGGTCCTATTGAACTTAAAAATGCCACCGGAAAAACTCCGGTACTCGACGTTGGAGCATTATCACAAATAAAAACCGGAAAAATTCAGGTAAATTTTCAAAAAAATCTTACATTTAGCCAAAAATTAAATAAATCTTTGATTTTGTCTAATGCATGATTTATGTATATTCTTGTAGATAATGCCAGGTGTGAAGGAAATTACTAAAATAGGTGCAAGATTTTTAGATGGCAAAGAAGGAGAATTTGATTCAATAATCTTAGCAACAGGATACAAAAGCAATGTGCCTTCTTGGTTTAAGGTATAACAATGATAATACTCATTGTCTCTGATGTCAAGTTTAACTACGTCACATAAATTCTACAAAAATATTGTATAGGGGCAAATGACAAAAGGGATAATAAGGCAATGAATATTTTGTTGTTACCTTATAAAGTTTCTAGTTTTATCCTTACTCTCAATCTCACATCACTTTCATTCTTACACATGCAGAAGAGCCTACAAAACGTTTCTTAAATCAAAAAAGAGAATTTCTGATCTCATTTGTCTGGACTTTTCCCTATCATCACCCCATCTATTTTATCCCCAAAAAAAAAATTTAAAAAAAATTAAATAATGTGTGTACTTCCTAGTTCCTATAGCTTGGGAATGCAATAATGATATAATTTATGTCACAATTATTATTTTCATATTTATTGAATACCTATACACTTTAATGATTAATAATAATACATATAGACTAAGTACAATTATAATTATGAAAATATTTTTATTATTTTGTGGGCCAAAATTGACCAAAGATATGCACTTACTAGACCATGCATAGTGGCATATTTCCTATGGTTTATTTATTTATATGTAGTGAAAAGTACCAACTTGTTGAGACTTTTAGGTCATTTTAGGTCTATCACATGCAAGATTTTTTCTATTTTTCAAAATAAATGATGAAAATATATTCAAATTTCAAACTACGAAAAATCAAAATTAATTTATTTATTTTTAATATTAATTTTGTAGGGAAGTGATTTCTTCACAGAGCAAGGGATGCCAAAAACACCATTTCCAAATGGTTGGAAAGGGGAGAATGGATTATATACAGTGGGATTTACAAGAAGAGGAATTTTAGGGACTGCAAATGATGCAAAAAACATTGCCAGGGACATAAGTGAACAATGGAGAGAATTCAAGGGCTTCTGTAAAAACTTTTGTACTACAAGAAATCTATCAGATAGCCAAGGCATATGTTTTTAGCCTTTTTAGTTTTAGAGTTAGATGTTAGTTAAATTTTCCAAAAAGGGTCTTTAAGTTTTGGAAAAAGTAGTTAGGGGCTCATAAAATGTAATTTTAGTTGTTCAATATTTTCAACAAGAGTAAAGTTCATCCTTCTATCTTGTCGTTTTTCCTATTCTCTTGTCAATTTTGTAAATTAATCAATTTTTTATGTAATTTTCTGATTATTTTTTTTTGTACATATACTTTTATCATTTTTCAAATCTCCTTGATAAAAATATTGGTGGCTTCTGCTGCTACAAATGCTCAATATTGGGTGTGGGTAGATGTTAAAAAGTTCCACATTTTTAAAAAATGAATGAACGAATACTCCTTTTTTTTTCCCACATGATGTCCCTAGTTTGCATTGAAACTCTGATGACCTTCTCAATACGATTTTTTCTCCATACTTAGGATTCGAATAATTAAGAGAGAGTAATGATTACTCTCCATAGTATAACTTAGCTAAAGGATTGTGCATTTGTGTTATACTTCATCTATTCCTAATTACTTGTTCACTTTTGAATTAACACACCTATATAGTAAACAATTATTGATATAGTGAGTTTACCATTTTACTTCAATTAATTATGAAATAGATAAATTAAAAATTTAAGATTTTCAAAAAGTTCTGTCTTTTCATAAATAATTTATTGAGGGTATAATAAATAAATAAAATTGTTCTTTCTTGATTTATCAAATTAAATAAGTAAAAAAAATAAAATGAACAAGTAATTAGAGACAGAGAATATGTCTCAAAATTCATTTTTGTTAGGAGATACCCAATATATTTATGAATTTAATTGATGTTCTATCATAACTCAATGTAAAAAGTCAAAGGGTGAGATCATCAATTGTTCTGAAAACGGAGAAAGCCGTTAGATATTTTAGCTTTTTCAGTTTGTTGAGATCATCAATCTTTCCTTCAAAATCAACTTCTTTATCTCTTTCAAACACCAATCTTACTTTGCTGATGCCATAAAATTGTACTACACCTTTTAATCCTAAATCTATCATTGCCTTTCCTAATCTAACTTCATATACCGATCGTGATGAACTAGCTAATAAGTATTCTTTTATCCTTAATAAGAGTTTTAGGTTCGAGTCTTCTTGATACGGAGTCATGTTTATTCGGGAGCATTTTATCCTATATGATATTTTTCGACGCGAATTTGAATTTAATCAAACTTCAATGTATATACCGAACATCAATGAGAAATAAAAAAAAACACATAAAATCTAATTTCATGTGTAGAAAATATTAGACAGCCTTAATATAGTATCGGCAACTTAGTCTATGAAAAGTTAGAAATTTGTATTATTATTGGCAAAGATTAATTCTCTCTAGTAATCCCCCATTTATCGAAAGTTAGAATGGAATAGATTATGACACGTTTGTTCACTTAGTTAATTATATGGTCAAATATGTATTAACTTTTCATAATTGTTTAATTATTTAAAAAGGATGAAATGGTATATCATGTTCGATTGATTGAGATATGACCCGTTACTAGATTCAACATTTATTGATCTAAATAAAATTTGAACAAGATATATAAAAATCAAAACTTGTATGAACAAACACATATAAAAGCAATACATAAATATGTCTTTTAAATTGAATTCAACTGACAATTTTTATGTCCTTTAACTTTATATGTGTACACGTCACCACTGAAACGTGTATAAAGTTAAACAAATAAACTCATATGTCCTATAGTCTACAAATAAATATAAAATTTACTACAAGTTTAAGTGCATATTTATCCACATCCAAAGCTGAAGATATCAGATAAGGATGAGTTAAAAGACACTTTATGTATTATGTCTGATATATAATCCGACTCGTCTACGTGTCACCTTTTGTAGTAGTATATTGAATAGCCAAGAATGTACCATAGAATAGACCTAACCCCCACCTAAAAGTGAAACCTTCCAAGAAAGAGTAAAAGGCCAGAGAAAAATTCACCCAAGTCTACTTGATGCAAGTTAGCTAAGGTATAGTGTGAGGGAAATTTTAAATTAGAATATAGCTTAGAGTGAGGGAAACGTGCAGTGATATTATTGAGTACGTACATATATAGTTGTAGTAGTAGTAGTTTCTCTCATATGCACGCTGATTATTGAGACAGTGATGAACCTCTGACATTATCTATTGTACTATATATTATACGTGCTACATTTCACTACATACTTGTATACGTAATATTGACCACATCCTTAATCATTACTTACAATTATTATATAATGGATTTCTTTAAAGTTTTATAAATTTACCACGTAATTTATAATTGAAAAGATCCTTTTGGCTAGAAAATTTGACCAGAATGGTATTTTACCTATGTTATTTTATCTTTTTGAACATTTTTATCATTTTAACTTTAATACTTTTTAACTATAAAATGGAAAAAATATCGGTTTATTTTAAAATTAAAAAAATATTATAATTTTTTTAATTTTCTGGCCATTTAGCATTTCTCTTTATAATTTTTTATAAGAATTATCTCACATTGGATCACGACTCTTTATATGTCTTTGACAATTTTACACTTTAAGAGCTAGTTAACTTTTTAGATTGATTAGTTAATATGGTATTAGACTAACGAGAGTAAGGCCCATCGATGTGGGAACCCTAATATATTCTTGATCAATGATAGTGCACACTCAAGTCAAGATAGTGTTTAAGCAATGAAGTGTGATGAGAATGATCACACATCAGACTACGACTCCTTATAATGCATGAACAATTTTTTTCTTTATAAATTCAATTTTTAGGGTATGAGTTAGACTCAAAATCCACTTAACATGGTGTCAGAGAGCCAGCTTGAGAATAGGGGATTCACTTGTATCCTTTTTCAACGAGATATTGCACTATTTAATTTATATATAGTTAAAATTAAATCCTCTTCAATAAATTTTGTATTTAATTCTTCATATATTGAACTTAAAATTTTGAATCTCAGGCCCATTGATCAGGTCCAATGTGGGAACCCTGGACCGTGCAGGGTTATGAATATACCCCCTATCTATGATTGTGCACGCGCTAGCAATTAGACTCATCCCACATCAAACCGGTTAATAAACTTAATATATATGTTTCGTAATCGTACTGAATCTGAGCTCGCATCGCATAAGGATTCATTCGAGAGGGAAGCTTTACATATCATGAATATTTTCATATTCATGGCTCGAATCCAAAACATAGTTTCATCCACTGCACCATTATTCCAACCATATACCAAAAAAAGGTCACCAAATATCAGAACTTTGTCAAAGAAAATATGGAATCTCTGTGTGTATGTTTATTAATTTGAAATCAAGTTTAGGTAATTACTGTATTAGATGAGAAAATAAAGAAGAAAAAGTCCAAAGGGAGAGTTAAGAGAGTGGGCAGCATTAATTAATTGAATGGGAAGAAGGAAATGCAAAGTCCAAATCACACGCCTTCCTTCTCAGTTCTTCCCATGCACGCCTCTTCTGTCTTTACTGACTTCTTATTACGTCATTCAATTCTATACTATTCACTCACTTCTTATATTCCGTTAAAAATGTGGTGCAGTGGATAAAACTATTATTTCTCTTTTAGTTAAAGATTTCGAGTTAAAGCTTAAAATATAAAAAAAAAAGTATTTTATTTCGAATGGGTCTTACGGGACGCAAATCAAATAACTAGTCATACTAATATAAAATCAAGTAGGAACTGATGGATTCATTTCAATCTTTTTACCTATTTGAATGCAATCCCATCTTTCTTTCTTTTCTTCCATTGCATTTAATCACAACACAAACTCCAAAGTCCAAAGTGAGCATCTTTCAAACTAGTACAACTATCAACTTGCTACTAATATCATACTCCCTCCGTTTACTTTTATTTGTTGTGTTACATTTTTTGAAAGTCAATTTAATTAATTTTAAAGTTAAATTAGATTATATTAAATTAATATTTTTTAAAAAAAAATTAGATATTCAAAAATCTATACGAAAATTACTATAAATTGTATTTTTTTTGCATACCACTATGATAAAAAAAATACATTATAAAATATTAGTTAAAGTTTTTATAGTTTAACTCTATACGACAACTAAAAGTGGATGGAAATAGTATTTATTTTTTAAAAAAAAAGTTAAAAAATCATATTTTTACTTTTTTATTAATTTTAAAATAAGTGGTGTGTGTTTTCAAAAAAATTTAAAAAAATTAATTTTCTTTTGATGTTTCAAAATTAGCCTTATTTCAATACAATGAGATTTACACTAAAAGCACCATTTATTTTTATTTTTTTAAAAAAAACAAGTGAGCACCATTTATTATCTCTACTCTATCTGATGTTTGTTTAGATTTTCTTCATATCTTTCAACAGATATCATATCATAAACACATATATAATTGTATAAACCAGATTAATCGTCCATCTCTTTTCGATAAAGTTAATTAACTCAAATTAACACATTTGCGGTAGGCGTTTAAATAATCTTTAATTGAAGTCGAAAAAGATTGAAATTGAATTTTTTGAATAAATTATTTGGAGTTGAATATAACTTTAAAAAACACAAATTAAAAGTTTGTAAACAGTGAAATATTGTTGATGGACAAACCGCTGGGTTATTAATTTTATTTTAAACATAAATACATAATATATATATATATATATATATATATTATTATTTTATTTTATTTTTTATTTAGTAATAACTAACACGCTCTTGAATCTATCCAAATCATACGCATGCTCAAAGATTGTAGATGACACATTTTGGTTACAAGCAGGGCGGCAGAGCTAGGTAGGGTTGAGGTCCGAGAAAGTTTATCAATCTAAATTTCCTTCGATAAATAAAATTATAGTATTTATATATGATTCAAATTATTTTATAATTATAATATACATGTTGAACCATTTTTAACTTCTTCATATTTTGAACCATTAATGCAGAGGTGTATCCCGGGGGTTATTGGCTTCACGCAAACTCATGTTCCCCTTCCAAGATCATATATAGTAGTGTTATAGTTTTTTTAAAAAAAATATTCAAATATAGATGTGTGAACATACACTCGGAGTATCACATAATGCGATAATGAGTGTATGACTAAGTGCACTTCTCTACGTGAGGTTAGAAATTT